AGAGAGAGAGAGGGGGCAAAGAAAACATTTTATGAAAAACAAGGGGATTTCTCATCTTAAAAATAATTCATCTCTTAACATATTATCTGGACCGTCCATTTTCAAGATTTTTAAGTGTTATAATTTTGCTTGATCGTTAGCATTTCCGAAACTTTAAATTTTATCATTGGGGGCAACAATAAATTTTCATATCATCATTTTCAGCATAGTTTCAAGTGCACCTTACTTCAATAGTATAAGGTTGACACCTTCTACGAACCTCACCCAAGATAATAAGGGATGGGGTAGGCCAAACCATGCAACTATAAATTGGGAGATTTTCCGTGGACAATTACAAACTTAACTCAACTGATAAGAAAACAAAATTAAGTTTTGGGATGTCTTCAAACAAAAGAACCCAAAAGAGGTCGAAAAAGTATACAATGAGACCATTTATTTTTGGTACAAGGTAGTCACAATTAATCTTGACTATTGAATGTGAAATAAGATATCTGCACTTATTCCATAGACCATACTCAAACTTCAAAAAAAAAATTCTCAATCTTTATAACACACCCAAACTACCTAATTTTACACCGAATGGCTATAAATAATTGCGACCGGCTTGTATGAAAGATATACAGTCTCATTGTATACAATATCAAAAAGGTCTATGGAGAGAGTGCATGCAATGTTGGAGACTAAACCGAACTCAGCGTTCGCACAAGGCGTAGTTGAAGTACCAAAATAACCCAGAAGATAACATTAAAAAGTAGACAAAAGGATACCAAGGAAACTAAAGGGACCGGTGAACTATGCATTTATTTGAGAACATTTTTTTTAGGGTGAATTTTATCATAACTTGTAATTTTGTTGTAAAAAGTTCTTAGGGTTATCTTAAAATCTATTTTCATATCTAACTAGAATATTTTAAACTCTAAAAATGGTTAAAATCAAGTAGATCTATAAACATATGAAAATCTTAAAAATGGACGGTCTAGATAATGTGTTGCAAGATGCACTATTTCTGGAACTGAGAACTTTTTGTTGTTCATATTCATACATCTAAATGTCAAGATGATCAATTAGAGGGTTTTTCAACATTAAAACAACTTTTCCGATAGTTTTTTGAGGTGCATCTGTAATTCTACATTTTAAGGTTGAAACCTTATATATATATATTTTTTATACCACAAAATGAGAGAGATATTAGCGTAAATTTCCAGTTTAAAATTTCCAATTGCCTCTTTTTTAAATTCATGTTGAGACTATTAAATTTGATCCAATATCCATCTCCATGATAGACGCACAAAACAATATGCTTTGACCAAAGCTTCAAAACCTTTGAAAATTGACGGTCAAAAAATACGTTACACTATACACTATTTCCAAAACTTGAAATCCATTTGTATCTTATGTCCATATACCTTAATGTCGAGATGATCAATTTGAAGATATTTGAGCATCAAAATAACCTCTCTAGAGAAATTTTTGAGGTGGGCTCTAATTTGATTGTTTAGAGCCTCGACTATATATAAACTTTTTCTTTTTGTAAATCGAGTACCATTTATATTGAAATAAAAATGTTTGATGCATACGTGTGGTTTATATAAGGCGCCAACCTTAAACAACCAAAGGCACACTTCAAACTCTATTGGAAGATGTAGTTTCAATACTAAAAACCTTAAGATGGCATGAAAATATATTTCCATCCATAATTATGAAATTGAAAGCTCCAAATATGATGTAGATCACACAAATATAGGAAATGGACAGTCCAGATGATGTATCACAAGATAGATATACTATTTTTAAGATTTGAAATTCTTTTATTCACAACTATTTATCTCAAGGTCAAAATGATCAATTGGAGGGTTTTTCAGTGTCGAAACAAACTTTTCAATATATATATATATATATATATAAATAAAAATTGACCCTAAGGCATGCAAATCGTCAAACGCTAACCATTTAAGCCTGAGCAGCTGAACCAAATCGGTAAATTATAAATGCATTATCTATTTACTTAGAGATTCTTGGGATAAGCGGTCCAGACATTTGGGTGTCACTTATATTCGTTAATGGATCGAGTTTGCATATGCCTAGGATCCAATCTATACACAAAAACACAAATGGATAGGGGAAACTTACATGTCTATCCATTGGATAGAAGAAACTTTTTATTTTTAACAAAATTACCCCACTTCAGATCATGAAAGTCAAGTTTAACTGTAGGATCAAAAGCCTTGTTAAGCCTCTGTCGGACCTTCTAGGTCCAAATTTGTTCCCAAACATGCTCCAGACTTTGAAGTTCAAAATTTGATAAGTAAGTTAAATTTGGATATTGAAAATTTAAAGTATGATAAAAAAAAATAGGCATAAAAATAAAATAGAAATTCGAAAGAAAGCTTTTAAATACCCAAAATTAGGTTATGCACCTCAATTTCTTCTGTTCTTTTGAATATGATTGGATGGCAGCCCCACCAACAATGCAAAGCAATATAGTTTCAAGCGTTGATTAGCTTAGGGATAGTATAAACTCCAAAAGTAACGTACGATACACAATGCAGCCGCTAAATAATGTGAATGGTCGAGATTAAAGACAATTCTTAGCGGGTATAAAAACTTAATCAAAAGACAATAGGTATACTCGAAGGGCCCGGTTTCTACGCAGCCAAGCCTGCACATAAATTTATTTTTGAGATAGATTTTTGGACTTAATTTTAAAGACATGTAATCTCTAACATTTTTTAGATGGATTTTTGGACTTAATTTTTAAAAACATGTAATCTTTAACATGGAGATAATAAATATAAAAAAATAAATAAAATTTAAAAACTAAAAATAATAATTCTAGTAAAAAAACATTCGGATCGCTAGTTTCCATTTTTTAGATGGAACGCAAACTTGCATCCATCTTTAAGCCATTTTTTAGATGGAACACATACTTGCATCCATCTTTAAGATGAATGCTTTACACTTTTTGGACAGGCATACGGTTCAACCCGTATGAAACAATTTTCCATACTTGAAACAATTTTCCATACTTGAACCCTTTATAAGAAGGAAAAAGTTTAAATAAAGTATCAACCTTGTACTAAAGTAAGGTACGCTCAAAAAAAGAAAAAACAAGAAAAAGAAAGAAGAGAGTGAAACATATCTCAATCTTTAAGAAGAGAGCATTTTGTCGTTGAAAAGTGTCCAATTAATCATCTTGACATCGAGATGTATGCATATACGTAAAAACAATTTTTCAAGTTCTCGAAATAATGTATCGAGAAGTTTTTTGAGCTGTCTATTTTTAAAGATTTTCAAGTATAAGCTCGATCTATGCCCACCATAGAAATTTTAAATTTCATGAAAAAAGGTTTTCAAACTATCATAAGATCTCCCAGAATTACATCTCCAGGCTGAGTGCCTCTTACTTCAAAGAGCAGCTTATACAAAGCTCACCATAAAAAACCTTACCCTTGAAAGAATCAAGAACTACTCGTTTAAAGAATCGTTACTTAAATACCAAGACGTTTAATTTTCGGAAAAAGGAAATGTTTTTGTACTTTCCCTAATGTATAGAAGTTATATACTCTCCCATCTAACGGTCCAATTTAAATCAAACACGTCATTGACTGTTTGATCTAGATCTGACATCTCATAAAAAAAAAAATTTAGTTTTTACTCTACAAATTATATTAATATTAAATTTGACACATGTCATCATCTCAATAAAGAGCACTTAAAACAAATATAAAAATTATTTTCAATAAAATAAAATAACCAAAATACCCTTAAAAGTTTTATATTTTCCTTTTTTTACAAGTGCGAGTTTAAGAGAAGAGTGGATACCCAAAATTTGGTGTCAAGATGTTTTGTAGAAAAAAATTTAAAATAAAACAATATAGAGGCGTAACATTGTAATTGGATCCATCTCACCATTCATTCAGATTTGACTGCTATCTAAGAGGAAGTACATAACTAGTAGCATACATTAAGAGAAGTATAGAAAGCTTGCCCTTCAAATGATAATAACACAAAGATCAAGTTACAAGGTGAGGTACATACAAGCTCCTTGAGAAAACATTTGTTTCTTTTCTCATGTAAAACATTGTAGCAATGTTGGTCTCAATATGCTCATTCTGAAGTTTTGTGCCACAAAGACCACAAGCCAACAGGTGAAACAAACCTTTAGGGTTTAGAGCAGCAAATTTTGGTGAGAACTAGGGATGCAACAGGTGAAACATACCTTGAGGGTTTAGAGCAGCAAATTTTGGTGAGAACTAGGGAGGACCATCCCTAGGATGGTCACTAATTTTGAACCAATAGCCATATTAATATTCATCATTCTCAAAACTAGCCTCATCAAAAAAATAAGAGAGGAAACGCATGGGATAAAAAAGACCATAAACTTCATCTAGCCAAAAAGCAAATAACAGAACTTTATGATGTTTCACCTCAGTCATCAACCAAAACAGAGAACAAATAAGAGATATTTAATGAGACCCCAAATGAACATAAGAGAGCAATAACCACAAATAAGAGAGATTTAATGAGACCCCAAATGAACATAAGAGAAAGCAATAACCTAAACCATAAGTAATATGCTTGCCTGATAAAGAAAAATAACAACAGAGGCACAGGAATTACAGCTTAGGTTGCTTCTCAAAAATTCAAAATCAAATGCCACTCAAATTGCAGTAAATTTTATTAAAACCACCATATACGCTCGCAATAATAGTTACCACAGTCTCGTAATAATAGTTAGGATAAAGCTCAGATGATGATGATATGCTAACAACAATACGAGTCACATTGAAACTAGAATTAACTATAACATTAATAACCTTGTTCATAGAATTAACTATAACATTAATAACCTTGTTCATAGAAACTGTATCATAGCTTGCTGTATTTCAATTGTTCTACACTTGAATACATCACCAAAAAGACCCATAAAGAAGAAATAGCCCCCAGTAGCAAGAATTGAGAATCAGAACCAACATTCACTGACATAACTTATTCTCTTCTACTTTAGTTTTTCAGCAATGCGGCCACTGTTGAACTACCTCGACTACATGGATGTAGACATAGAGATAGATAACATATATAGGAGGCTTTTCATAATTAGAGAGAGAGTGAAAGTGTTAGAGAGAATTCAGCACCTCCATGCCGAGGCGGATAGGAGTTCTTTGTTTTGCCAGCACAGAACCAGCATTGAATGTCGCTTCTCAACATGGAACCCTTCAACTTGCACCCTCTTCATTATCTCTTGAGCCTGGCTCTCTGTGAAATTGCTGAGCGTAATGGGCGCAAACCCGGCCGACGCGAACAAGGTGCGCCACGGAGGAAGCTTCTCAATGCGATGACGACTCAACACAACACTCTCGATCTTTGGCTGAACAAAGAACCTCTCAATCTTCGCAAGAACACCAGGGTCCAAACATGCTGATTCCAAAGAATCAAGGAAGATAGAGAAGCTCTCAAGCGACAAGAGGAAGTGCTGAAAGAATGACGCATCAATTCGATCACAAGGAAGCTCAGTTGAGACCACGATCTTAGGGTGAATTGCCTTGACTAGTCGGAGCAGAGAGAGAAAGTCAGCACCTGGAAAACTACGGTGCGCTCCGATAGGGAAATTGACAACAGCACCGCCAACAAACGCAGTGGGATCCAACGACTCAAAATGCACAGTCCCAAACTCAAAATGTATATTTGAGTCACGAGCAAAGTGATAAAGGTTTTCTCTCACCAGACTCATCTCGATGGGGTCGTGGGCAGAAGGCACGACCGCAGTGATCTTCAGCAGGATGGGGGGTGCACTGCCCAATTTGACAGCAAGTTCCTGCATAAAGGAGGACCACTGCCCCCCGAACCCGATCTCAAAGTCGATAATGTGAATTGGGTTGGACAAGGACGCATCATCCAGCGATTCCAAGAGGGCCTGGTTGCATGTGAAGTTCGAGAACTGTGAGAAAGGGAAGATCTCAGAGAATGCCTTGAAGGCACCGATCTTGTGGACAATTTCAAAGGGATTTGCAGAACAAAATGAAGATGATGAAGATGGAGTTGATGAGGAGCGAGAGAGTTGGTGAGGAGGTTGGGGGTTGCAGAGGAGAGATAATAGAGCTTGCTTGAAGTAGAAAGCGGCCCTGTGGAGGGGGTTTCCTAGGGGTGAAAGCTGGTGATTGAGCCGCGCCAATATCGCCCTAGCAGGGCCGGCATTGCCAGCCTCCACAAGCTCCGCTGCTTTCAAGAGCTGGTCCACCAAAGCCAGCTGATGCTGTTGCAGTTGTTGCGGTGATTCCTCTCTATCTCCACCCATGCCTCGCATACATGCCCCTCTCTGCTTGCCATTCATGACGAGTGCCATCTCACTCTGCAATGGATGGAAAAACGGGGGGCTTTGGCGGGGCATTGTGGTGGAGTTCTGAAACCCCATGGGCGAGTTTGGACCCGAACCCTGGTTCATGAAGAGCTGAGATTGCAGGTGGGGAGGGAGTTGAAGCTTCTCCTCAACCATCTCCATCTTTTGCGGTGGAAGCTCCATTTGTTGTAAATGGAGCTGCTGAAACTGCTGCTGATAAAAGAGCGGGTTGGGGACTACCAGATTTGCCGAAGCGGTAGAAGCAGGGAGGTAGGCATTCTGGAGAGAAAAACAAGAAGGTGGGCTTTGTTGCAGAGGGAAAGAGGTTGGTGCGTTGTTCTTCACAGGTAAAGGAGGTGAGAGAAAAGGAGGAGCAGGAGAGGGAGGAGGTATGTTTTTTGCAGGAGAGGGGGGAGAGAGGAAGGGCGGAGGAGGACGATTTGGAGGTGGGTTCGGATTCTGGTTTTTGACAGGAGAGGAAGGAGACAGGATTGGTGAATTCGAGGGCCTCGGAAAGGAAACAGCAGGCAAAGAAGGGTTGATTGGTTCCGGGAAAGAGAACCCAGATGCAAGGACCTGGTCGCCGAACCCCGTTTCCATGGGCTCATCAAAGTGGGTCAGTTTGGGCTCCTCTATCTCCCCCATAATCCACTTCATGAGAGAGGAACCGGGTCCTGTATCTCCTGAGTTGATAATGGGGTGAGCAGGAGAGGAAGCAGACTCCATTAACATGGCTTCCCAGTCCTCCATGTTCAAGCAAGGCTTTGTATTGCTATTGCTATGGCTGCTATGAGTATTAGCAGCAGAGGAAGAAGAGGGTGGGAGCTCCATGGCCTGAAACTCTGAGACCCATTCCTCTCTCTTAGAGCCTGAAGCCTCAGAGTTCGGAACTGGGTCTGGTGTAACAGAGCCACCACCCAGTGAAGAAGACAGGGTTGAGGTTGAGGTAGGGCTAGGGCTCCTGCGCAAATCGAGTACAGAGGTCGGCTCCGAACTGCTATTACTGCAAACAATGGCAACCGGCTTCCTCCAATCTTTAGTAACCTGGATTTGAACCCCTTGAGACTGCAAATTATAGGGCATCCCCTTCATTTAGAACCAGCTTTTATAGAGAGAGAAAGGGTGAGGATAAGAAGAGGGAAGCTATTTTCAGGAAATGGGTGCAGTGGTATTCAGAGAGGAGAGAGAGAGTGAGATGGGGTAGAGAGAGAAAACAATGGTTTTGTGTAAACAGGGGCGGCCATTGAAGGCCGAGATCGAAGGGGTCTCCTGGTATATCGGACCAGAGAAGGAGCAACACTTGTTGGGTGCATGCACCTGATAAGAGATAACCCTCTCTCTCTAGACACCTGCAACACACCCTCCTCAATCAACACAGAGCCCTTTGTTTCTCTCTTTTCCTCTCTCTACCCACCCACCTCTCTCTTCCTTCTCCCAAAATAGGGAAAACCTAGCACGCCCTCTCTCTCGCTCTCTTGAATCTCCAACTCCGACGGAGCCGCTCTCTCTCCACCGTCTTCTTCTTCCACTCTCTCTCTCTACTGGTTCCCTCTTGCCCTTCTGCGTTCAACTCCTAACCTCTGCATCTGCTTCGACCTTGTGTACCATGTACCCTTCCCTGCTCTGCCATGGATGCGTGCAACATAAAAAAGGCAATAAAGCGTTCCCCCATCTCCCTCTCTCTCTCTCTCAAAATTTCACTCTCTCTCTAAACTACTACCTCTCTCTCTAAACTCTACTCCCTCTCTCTCTCTCTACCACTTCCCCTCTTTTAAATGGATTCTCTCACTGCCCTGCTCTCTCTCTCTCCTCCCTCTCTCTCTCTAGAAATCTCTGCCCAGAACACCCCTCTTTCTCTCTCTAGAAATCTCTGCCCAGAACACCCCTCTTTCTCTCTCTAGAAATCTCTGCCCAGAACACCCCTCTTTCTCTCTCTAGAAATCTCTGCCCAGAACACCCCTCTTTCTCTCTCTAGAGTGAGTGTAGTCCACTGTTTTCTCTCTCTATCCGTATTTATCTCTCGGGTGGTCTGTCACCCTACCAGAGCTGTTCTCGCCGGACCCAGACCCCCAAAACAGGACCGTAATAATAAACAATAATTACCTAAATTACCAAAAATATCTCCTATTATTATTTTGTAGAAAATATATACTCCTTTTTGTTTATTTTCATTTATTGAAATTTGAAATTTAGGCTTTAAATCATGCCAAAAGATTTCGTATTCTCGTGGGAGTATGCTGTCCATTTGTTCTCTGTGGTGAAAGAAGTAAACTTAAGTGTTTAGACTTCTAACTCATAAATTAACCTCAATAAGGAAAGGACGCCATTAGCATGTGGCTAAGCCGGCACGTGTACAAATGCAGGCTTAGCGATAAATATATTTTTAAATATAATTTGATCTTAAGTTTTAAAGAATATATAATCTTTAATATGGAGATTATAAATATGAAAAAATAAATAAATTTTAAAAATTAAAAATAATAATTACATTGAAACAATATTTGGACCATTGGTAGCAATTGTTTTTAGATAGACCATTTATACCTATAGATTGTATATTGTCCAAATGCGGTCCAACCTGCATGAAATAATTGTTCATAAAAAAAGTTACACCTATGTTATGCGGGCAAGGCTGCCTGAGGGCAGCTATATGGCGCAGATTGCATCATATCAGTACGATCTCTACTGTCCAACTTAGTTGAACGGTGAAAGATGCACATGTAGGCATACAGCATGAAAACTAGATTCCATAAATGAATTTTTTTTGCATGAATATTAAAAAAATAAAAAATTAATGTTTCATGATTAAATAGTCTGTCGCATTTTTAAAGAATGAGACCTGACTTAGGTGTTAACAAAATCAAATCAAAATTTCTTTTAAAAATAATCATCTAGTGATTATTAGGTGGTTTTTATAACTTCCCATTGAGAAAATTACATATCGCATAAAGTAGGTTTATATTATATGCTCTAGGCATAGTATATCCAAAGCACTCCTCAAAAGATATATCTCTCGCATGAGCATATCATATATCTACTCCCTCAAAATAATCTATTTTTTTCTCTAATTATAAAATTTTGAACTTATCAAATAATTCAAATAAAATAAATCTATAAACACATTTTAAAATCTTGAAAATAGACAGTCTCGTTGCAAAATGCACTATTTTTTAGACTCATAATCTCTTCTTTTTTTTTGTCATTTTCATATATTTCGATGCGAGATCATCAATTAGAGAGTTTTTCAAAATCAAAATAGCATTTTCCTATAGATTTTTAAAGTGCAACTTAAGTTTACAATTTATGATTGCAATAAAATTCTTCTCTTTTTTTTTTATTGAAGTTATTATATGGGTTAAAGATATCGCATCCCTACAATTTGGTATTCTTAAAATTACTTCTATATTGGGTTTCACCCGTGAGAATAAATGGACAACATATTCCCACGGAAGCATAAAATATTTTAGCATGAGCAAATAAGTAATTATTGAATTGACATAAATAGCTTTACATACTTTCCTCCTGGCGCCAATGATACAAATACCCTTTGCTTTTATTTAGTGCCCTCACAGGAAGGCCATAATAGCTTCATTTTTCAGCTACTAGTGTAAATGACTATAGTGCCCTTTAATTCTAGTGAAAAATGAACCCAAGTACCCAAAATATTCCTTAACCGGAAGCCTAAATGACATTGGATCAGGTGAGTGAACCGGTGGCCCACCTTCAATTGGGGTTTATTTTGAGGATGAAGTTTATGTAAGGATTTTATGGATGAGGTTTCTATAAGGCCTAGGTTTTATGAAAAAAAATAAAATAGAACTTCATCTCAAATTCTTTTATGAACTTGACTTTTGGCGAAAGAAATCTCCACGAAGGCTTTAAATCTAATTTCCAACACCAACAATAAGATTTAAGATTTTAAAATGGTACAAATCTTGCAAATTTGTAAACAGTTATTTTTAGGGCAAAATGGATGATCTAGATAATTTGTTACAATATATACTATTTTTCAGATCTTGAAATCCCATTTTTTTTTTACAATTATAATGCTCAAGTTTCCCGACGCGTATTTATGAATGAGTTATGAAGTGAGGCTTTATTTACTTTGATAGGGTGTAGCCTTATCAAACCTTCATGATCTGGGATTGTATACTATAAGACAATTTATGTTTAGTACAAAGAGGTCACAATTAATCCTAGTCATTAGATGTCTAGTTGGATGGCTTGGAGTGTATCACTAAGTTCAAAAAAATTTTATTTAGTTTTGATTTTAGTCACAAGTGCACTTATAACCATTTGATTAGAAATTAGATTTACATGAATGGTTGTGATCTCCTTGTACTAAAAATAAATAGCTTTTTTATATATTTTTATTTACTTTTCTTTAAAAATATATAAAATAAAATATGAAAATACTCATCCAAAAAGTACTTTGGGAAAAATCACTTTAAAATCAATTTTCAACACCAACATAAAATTTGAAGCTAAAAAAAAACAGTAAAAATTTGCAAGAATCATAAACACTTATTTTTAAAGTGAACTACATGGTCAAGATAATATGTTAAAATATATATTATTTTTAGAGTTTGAAATCTTTATTTTTCACAACCATATTGTTCAAGACCGAGATAGTTGACTTGAAAAATATTTGCCGCCAAAACAACTATTGTGAGCTTTGAGGTAAGGCTTACCTTATTGTGATAGGGCTGTAGCCCAATCAAAATATTTTCTTTACTTAAATAAGTATGTGGGTTTTGATTGGTTAAATGGACGGCTTACTCCTTTCATAAATATTGCTTTTTTATTCTACTGTTTTTTCTATGTTTTTTGGTAATATTAGTCAATAATTATTGTGACGACCTCAGTATGGGAAACAGGTTTTCACTCGGAGAGGTGGTGGTATTTCTAGTCCTCGTAGGTTCAACTTTTCAAGGGTATATATGATATGCACGATGATTTCTTGGGCAAAATAATGGCAGGGTAATTTATTAAAGTGCCCTGCTTTGTCTCAAGAGGGTGTCTAACGTATACAAAATAAATAATTTATTTTTTATATAAAAAGATCACAATAATTTTTGTTCGTCATATTTTAAATTTGTTGTAATAAATTCGAAGTTCAATTTACCTTTTCAAACTTTGTGAAACTACCCAATCTAATCCAATTTAAAATCTATTAACTAAAGATAATTGAAGCTTTCTTGTAATAAAGATAAATAGTCTCATGGTAGACAAACCTATTAGTTAGGTCATATTGTTGTAAACTTGTAGTCACATTAGAAACACTGATAAATTTACTCCACTAATTTTAAAATATGTTGATATTGCATCAAATTCTTTTAAGGATTTTTATCTAAACCGATCCAACATTTTCAATAATGAAAAAATACCCTCACTCAATATCAATAAAAGGAAAATTTTTATTATGTTTCTACAAATGGAATTATATTATGCTTATGAAAATTTGTCTTATAGAGGAGAACCGAATGACTGCATATGCGGTCCAAAAATGTAAAGCATCAATCTTAAGATGGATGCAAGAAGGTGTTCCATCTAATTGAAACTAAAGGTCCAAATATTTTCTTACTAGAATTATTATTTTTAATTTTTAAAATTTACTTATTTTTTCATATTCATGATTTCCATGTTAAAGATTACATGTCTTTAAAATTTAAGTCGAAAAAATCATCTCAAAAATAGATTTATTAATGGGCCCATATTTTTACATATGCGGGCTTGACCGTATAGAAATCAGGTCCTATGTTTATTTATATGGGATTGTATACTATATGATCATTTATCATTATTACAAGGACGTAACAATCATTCTTTAACCATTAGATGTCAAATTGGATGGTTTTAGATATACTATAAAACTTGATTTTTCTTTTTTAATTTGAGTCTAGTCAACGATGCATTTAAAGCCACCTGATTTAAATATGACGAACAAGAGCGATTATGACTTCTTTGTACTAAAAGTAAAGGACATGGTTTCCATGAGTCTATATAAAAATGAATCACCTCTTAAAAATCTATTTTTAAGATGGATTTTTGGACTTAATTTTTAAGGACATGTAATCTATAATATGGAGATCATGAATATGAATAAATAAATAAAATTAGAGAATTAGAAATAATAATTCTATTAATAAAACATATGGACCGTTAGTTTCAATTGTTTTTGAATGGATCACCTATTTACATCCATCTTTAAGATGGACAATTTATGCCTCAGGGAATATAGAAATGCTGCCCCTGTCGAATGAAACAAATTTTCAAATGTAAATGGTCTCTTTATATGCTTTTCCTATGTGTATATATAAGAAACGTTTCTACATCAATGGGTGCAAGAGTCACTGACCCTTGTGTTTAGCACACTGGATCAAATAACATATCGACAATACCAAAAAATCCCCCCCAAAAAAAAAAGTACATTTGAAAGTTTAAAAAGTTTTGTTTTTTCATATTCATAATCAGCTTAACCTAGATAATGAATCCTTAAAATTTTGGATCAAAATCCATCTTTAAGGTGGATTTTAGTGGGAGGCCGCACATGTACGTATGAGTTAGTTGACTCATAGAAACCTCATCTATATATATAATAGAATTTTTTTTTTGAATTTTGAGTCTAATCAATGGTACTCTTACATTCATCCAATTTAAAATCTGATAGACAATGATAATTGTAACCTCCTTATACCAAAAGGAAA